TCCACCTCTGTGTCCTTCACCTGTCTGCTGTGTTCCTTGGTCTCCATTATGCTGTTGTTCTCTAAACAAACCTCAGTTGATGAACTGTTGAAGCCACACTCCCCAACTCATGCCTTTAGGTCCTCAAATCAAAATCTACTCATAATCCTAAGGACCAGGTATAAACCTCGAGGGGATTGCAATTTTCAGGCTGTTTCACCTCGACTGTGGAATGAGTGTCATTTGTTTTTACATGGTCTTAACCGTATGAATTCCTTTAAAAAGCAGCTGGAGACTTTCTTATTCAAACATGCTTTTATTAATGTCTTGTTAAATGTTATTGTACTTGTTCTTCTTTTAATATTTATGCTCTATTTGTGAAGCACTTTCATATTTTTGTCTGTAAAAAGTAATAAATTAGTGAAAAGTAATACGTTAGTAAAATAAATTTCACTAACTTACTAAAGCCTTCACAGGAGGCTCTGAGTGATTTATTTAGGGGTATCAGACTAAAGGGAGCTGAATAAAAGTGCAAGCCACACTTTTAAAATTTTGATTTTAAAACCTGAAAACCATGTATAATTTTATTGTACTGTAAGGATTTATGATTACTGATTATAAATATTTATCAAAATTATAATTAAAAATCATAATTCAGAAGTAATGAGTTCTAACCAAAAATCATTTTTACGAAGAGATAACAGCGATACACTATAGGGGTTGTGATGATTGATTAATAATTACTGCTCAAACCGCTCTGAACGGTCAGCTTCTCCTTTGTCCGAAAACAGGGGAGAATATGTTATGGCAGTCGACTGAAACAAACGAGGAAAATTTGCCTCCATGGAAAAACCTCTGTGGGGTTTTTTAACTTCACCTGGGTAGTGGTGCCACAAGCAGGTCTCTGATCGGAAGGTAAATCTTCTGGTTGTTTTATCCCAGCAAGATTTTCAGCTTTGTCAAGCTCTTCAAGGGATTGGCCAGTGTAGAGAAGGGAAAAAAACCCGCCCACAGGCTTCTGCTTCTCCAAGACTGCTTCCTTTACATGGTGACCAGTGGTGGTCCACACTGGAATAGCAACTAGCATTAGCTTGAGCTACCTATTTATCACCTCTGCCGCTGACGTCAGAGCTGCAGTGCATGCTGGGAGATGTAGTAATAGTTTGTTTACCTGACAAAATGGTAGGAAAGAAAATTGTGCAAGATGTGGAAAAGAACAAGGGGTATAGATCGTTTTGCAAGGCTCTGTATGTGGTCACACAGTACATTGTTACCTTGATGAAAATATATGCTGGAAATTACGGACTTCAGCACAGTATGCGGTGTTAAAGTAAAAATATCATCTGTCATGTTCTCCACCACAGCTGGTTAGCAGGCAAGCAGGTTTTCTTTCCACTAAACCTCCAGCACAGATGGGTTAAACAATGTCATTTTGAAGTTGAGTGTAAATGAGCTCTTTAATAATAAAAAGAAGAGAAAAAGAGAGAAGTACAGGAGAGGAGAAAAAGAAGGGAGAGGCTGATTGTAAAGCATCTAACTGTGAGGAACAACGAGGGAGGGAGAGATAGGGGTGGGAAGATGCTCAGGAGGAAAGAAAAAAATGAAAACGCAACTGGATGAAGTGTGTGTGTGTGTGTGTGTGTGTGTGTGTGTGTGCGTGCACCTGTGCGAACCCTCTGTGGTGTATAAAATACAAGCAACTGCTTGTTTTCCGTGTTCCGGTCTGCTGTTGTCAAACCCTGCTGGGGCTGCAGAGAGAGAAACAGGAGACAGCAGCTGTAGCTGTGACTATATGTGTGTTAGGTGCGTTTGTGAGTGAGCGGATAGTTTGTGTGGCTGCCTTCTCTTTTTCTACACATATCTCTGTATACACGTAGAGAACTTTTGTTTAACTCTCTTCAGATTCAGAAGTTTACATATTTTTTCTTAATATTTCGTAGAATTGCCTTTTCAACTGTATGAACCGCAGTTTGCCTGGAGTTTGACCCTTTCTCCTGTCTGAACTGTAAGTGATTTAGGTTTGTAAGCTGCCTTGCTCACACACACCTTTTCTGCGATGCCCACAAATATTCTGGATTTTGTGATGGCCACTCCAAAACATTGACATTTTTGTCTTTCCACCTCTTTGTAACCAATCTGTATGCTTAAGGTCATTGGGAGAACCATTTGTGGCCAAGCTTAACTTCCAGGCTGATGTCTTGAGATGTTCCTTCAGTATTTTCTCGTAGCGTTCTTTCCCCGTGTTGCCATCTATTTTGTGAAGTAACCTAGTCTGTAATGCTGCCTCTACCACGCTTTTCAATTGGCCTGGTGTTCTTGAGCTTATTTCTTATGTTATGGGACCAGTCCAGTTTACTGTTCACCTCAACAATAAACTGGACTGGTTCCATAACACCAATGCCCCGTACAAGAAGGGCCAGAGTTGCCTCCACCTCCTGAGGAGACTGAGGTCATTTGGAGTGTGCAGGCCTTTGCTCTGGACTTTTTCTGACTCTGTGGTAGCCTCTGCCATGCTGTCGTCTGCTAGGCCCCAAGCAGCACAGAGTGGAACAGGAAGAGACTGAACAAGCTGGTTAGGAGGGCCAGCTTTGTCCTGGGCTGCCCACTTGGCTCTATGGAGGTGGTGCGTGAGAGGAGGATGTTAGCCAAGCTCACATCCATCATGGACAGAACCTCTCACCCACTGTACCGGACTGTAGAGGAGCTGAGTAGCTCCTTCAGTGGCAGACTGAGGCACCTTCAGTGCAGGAAAGCTCGCTACCGCAGGTCCTTCGTCCCCACCACTGTCAGACTGTTTACTTCTACCATATAAAAACTAGCGCAACAACCTCTGTGTTTGTTACCTGCAATCATTGTCACTTTAGCACAAATGACCTCCACTTTTTACTGTACATAAGTAATTTTATATATTTATTTTTTATTTTATTCTATTATTACTCCTTGCTTTTACCCATTTACCTTGTTCTTTGATTGCACATTTTTTCATAACTATGTGCACCCTTTTTGTGTGTCACTAACAGCTGCTGTAACAAGTAAATTTCTCTAGTGTGAGATCAATAAAGTCTATCTTACCTTATCTTATGTAATGGAGGTCATTATGACCAAAGACTTTGATTTTAGTTTCATCAGACCATAGGACATGCCACCAACATAAAATCATTAAATAATCATTTTTTTAAATCGGCGTTTTCCAGCTCTGATTCAGGCTGCTCTGATCCTCTTCACTTCAGGAGAGTAGTGCAGACTGCTGTCGTAGTTATGCTGCAACCAACAACAATGTACCGTTTCACCATATTACCACTGTTTTTAACGCAACTTGGCTTCTACTCGAACCATTTTTCATTGATGCTCACACAATGAATGACCGGAGACTTCCCCTTTCATGTAATTTCCGGGCGATTTTGGACTTGCAAAATTTAACAACGAAATATGCCTATTTTGAGTGGCCTTTCAGCCTATGTCAGTACAAGACCTGTTTCACTCACTAGCTTCAGAGAGAATCTTGGTCTTTTGCTTTTATTTTGTGTTTGATATGCACCTTCTGCAACAAAACGTGTTCATATCCGGGACATGGAACTTGACTTCTTTGCGAACTCTATGATGGCTGAACCCTCCCATGATCTTTATAGTTGTGTATAATTGTTTAAATATATGAACATGGTACCTTCAGGCATCTGGAGGTTGTATCTAACATGAATGAGGATGAATGAGGAGGCCCACAACTCTCAGTTAACTCAAATGTTGAGAACTTTCCTATCAGAAACTTACAAATTCATGAAATCATCATCTGAACTTCCTCAAGTTAGGTAGAAGTATAGTAATCCTGTATGTAAACTTCTAAAAATCTCTAAGAAATCAAGTATTTTCATATTTTGGCATGTAGGAAATAAAATTATTTTCAGAATTTTACCTGACTTAAAACAAGTTTATTCTGATTTTATGGAGCAGTGAGAAAAGAAAGGGGTTAAGTTTTCTTCTAGAGCATACGTAAATATCTAGTTCCAACTGTTTGTTCTTCTGCATGTTATTGTGTCTTGCCCAAATTACATTGATGTGATTCTCAAAAGTATTTTAGAAGAGTATGAACATCCACAGGAATACTATACAAATTATAGTGTCAATATAAAGTTCCTGTTTATGAACTTCAACCTTTTTTCCATTTACATGGAGGTTGCAGCATGGTCCATGTATGTTTTTATTTCATTAAGAGAATTGTAAGTATTCTTTTAGTTAAAAAAGCAAAAGTAAATACTGCCAGTAAATATTCCTTTGAAACGCTCCCCTGTAAACATAATTGCTTAGTCATCACCTACTTCTCATTAAAAACAATGAAAACACTGTTCTTTATTTGTCTAAGAGTACAAGAAATCGTATTGTGGGCACAAATTCAGATCTTCGGTGAGAAAATAAATATGAATGCATGAAATAAATTTGTTCTTTTATTCACTACAAAGTAATGATTTAATAAATAAATGTGTTTGTCCCTAACGTGCATTTGTTCTCCAAATCAACATCTGGCAGACTGTTTCCTTTAGGAACAATAGTCTACATGTGTTCCTGACACGTTTGATTGTCTCCTTGTGTCTTAGGAACCTTTTTAATCCCTCTGTGTGTCCAAATGACAAACAGAAAGAGATAATTGGGATTTGTGTCCCTTTAGTGTTTTCTTTGAACAGATTTGACAACACAGGATTATGAATTGTTTCTGTTTGCAGCCATTTTCTTTGTCTTCTTGATTGCTTTTCTTCATCTCTGTAAGCTTCTATCATTCTTTAAGTTACCTTTATAATATTTAAGCCTTTACAACATCCTACTTTTTTTGACATTCTAAAAATGTAATATTTCATCCAGCTCAAGACATGAGACCAATCCCCCCCACACCATATTTTTGTTTAAATCTTTTTAAACTAATACATGTTTTAGTTTTCCAAAACTTTTCAAGCACTAGTGGCCTTTATTTATTTTTCTGACTTAGCAGACAGGAAAGAGGGGTAGAGAGAGGGGGAGACATTCGGCAAATATCGCGGGGTCCGGGACTCGAACCCGGGACGGCCACCTCGAGGACCGTAGCCTTCGCACATGGTCGCGCGCTTAACCCCTACACCATCAGCGCCGCGCCCCCCAAAAACATTTTTAGATAACTAATATGCAATGTCATTACTCCACCTCTACACCAACCTCTAAAAGCAACAAAAGCTCCTTTTTTCCTGTTCTATGTACCCTTATTTGGGTTTTGTGTAATTCTGTAACTGGGTTACACTGCCTCATACATGTCTGAAATAGTTACTATAGCATTTTGGGACATATCTTGCATGGATGAATACACTTTTTGATAATTGAGAAAGAACAAATACAAAGTTGTCGACAAGATCTAAAAACTTTAAACTAACTATAGATTTGTTGTAATTTGTAGTGTAGTTTTAGCGGCAAAATATAACAATGGGTCTATATGAGCAAGATGAGATTTTAACAATATTTTAAAGAAAACCAAGGCTGCTGAGACACGGTTTCATATTGTATCTTGCCATGTTTGTTGATGTTATGAAAAACATGAGTCACATGTGTCCTAACTTTAGGATATTACAAATTTTGTGCAAAATTAAGTCCTGGTGAGTCTTTGAAGTATGTGTTTCACTTCTGATTCACTCTCGTTTTGATATACAGTATGTTGGTATTTACTAAGATCCATGTGGTGAAATTCATAGTGTTCTGCTGCGTCATGAACAGGTACATAACTTCTCTATCACTTGTATATATTAAAGGATCAGCCGACCATCTGGGAATGACATTTCAATACTCCGTGTGCCCCTAAGCGGTCAGATAATTATTAGTCAAACTAATCAGTCAGGAAGTAATTGCATAAGTTCGGTTTTAACCTTGTCATGTCCAAAGTTTAAATTGAAACAGCAATTGGATAGTGCTTTGCAAGCCTGTAATGCACTTTGATGAGAAATATTGTGCGAAAATTGTCGTCACCAATAACTGTTTTAGACCTAACTTCTTCTTTCCTTATTTTACTCTGTATCATCCTTTACCATCTTTTGTCTTTTCCAAAATATTAGAAAATCTTGCCTTGCACAAGCTTCCATTTTTGGTCAAACTATAAAGTCTTCTATTAAATTTGTAAATTTACCATTTTTCTTTTTAGTCTGAACTTACAAGAAAACTTTCTTGCCTATATCTGAATATATTAATCAGTGAAACTTTGAGATAGGTAAAGATGGCTTATCTCAATATTCTTGCAAGGAGATTTAGCATTTTTATTTCTCCACATTTGCTGAAAAATTTTATATTTTTAGATAAATAAAAGCACATCCCTTGACTCATCATGTAGTCAAAGTAAACAGGAAGTAGTTGTTGCTGAAGGTTTGTACAATTGTTAAGCAGCGCTAAAGCAATCTAAGGTTGACCACGTATTTTATATGCAACATGGCCTGTGATTAAGGGTTATTATGCACCACCTACCTACTTGGGCTACATAGCACCCTTTAAGTACCTTGACATGATTGTTTGCTTATATTAATATTAGGCATTATTTGATACCTTCATTAATGGCACAGCCTTAATTAGGATCAAAACTTTGCTTATTTAAAAAGTTTCCAAAACATGCTTTTATTTTTTTCATACGGCACTGTGCATCCTATAGTGTCCTCTATTCCTCCATCCTTTTGGGTTTTCTCCATTATTACTTCCACATGCTGTCTTACATTGATTCCTGTCTCTTCCTTTTTCATCCATTCACCTTTCTCCAATTTCCAGATCCTTCAGGGCACTACATAATTTGAACCTCCTTCTGACTTCTTCCTTTTATCTTCTGCAAAGAAGGAAAAGGGTGAGGAGGCGTAGGCGAGTGAGAACATCTACTAACACAGAGAAAAGAAAGGGTAGAGCTACTGAGATTAAGCCATTTACGCTATAAGATAGTTTAACAGACAGGCTGTTAATTCTTTCTGTATGTTGCCACTGTTTCACTGTACATCACTGCTGTTATGAAAACACTAAAAAAATTAACACATTATTTAACCAGGCTATTTCAAGGCATCTCCTTTTTTTTGTCCATTCCAATAGTAACATTATGGAAATTTTTCCCAGGATTACACACAACAAAAAGGGGCCTGTTTCTTGCAGAACTGATATAGTAGTAAAAAAAATTGTAAATATTGCACAGGCAGAGACTGATTGGGGTTCACTTTTTTCTGCTAGAAATGGCATAGTTTGGACAAAACATATATGTCAGGATGTCATTCTGAACCTGAACTCAAAACTGACCGGGGGACCCCCGGTCTTCCAAATGGAAATTTTAACTTCAGGATTATTCGGTTTTATTTTTACGACTTGGAACCTCAGAAATGATGACTTCTGGATACGAGCTGAACACTCCATTTGTCTGCCTTTGTACTTTTCCTTTTTATCTTGGAGATAATTTATATGTCACCGTCCCCACTAATTGGCCACCTGGTGAAGATGTGTAAAAAGTTTAAAAATAAAAGCAACTGACATTGCAATAGCACAATCCCACACTGAAAGGTTTGGTGCACTTCTTTACCAGTTAACCTTTTAGACTTTTTTTGCATCCTTTACCATCCGTCACTTTGTGCAGTCACAAAATAAACTCGCCTAACCTTGTTTACAACATTCCCAGTTTAAAAAGTTTCAATTATTGCTGTTTTATCAGTTTCCATAAGCCGATGTATTTTAAAAGGTAAAAAAAAAATCACGAGTAAGTTACAAAAAAAATAATATATTATATATATATATATATATATATATATATAAATATATATATTTACATTATTTTTGCTAGAGCTACGCAACATATTGAATCACAATCATCATCGCAATAGCAATCCGTGTAAGGTTGCAATAGATTTCTTGTATGCAATATTTGGCAGGACATTATATTTCAAGTGTTAAGGCTGCAAATGCTGCATGCTTATAAAATATCTAGCCCGTTCAATGAGGTTTTTACTGCCCTTGATGCCCACACTTGATATATACATTAGTTGCTGAGATACTAAAACTGAAAGGAGTGGTGGGGGCATCGTGATGAACGAAAAGAAAGGATGACAGTCAGGAAAATGTGGGTTAATCGTTACTGAAATTGTCATAATTTTATTCTCTGTACCATAGGGTTCCTACACATGTCTGGAAAAAGAGTGAAATTAGACATACTCTATGCATTGCACTTCTACGCAATCTTCCTTCCTTCCTGTTTTTGTGAATTCTGAATAGAAATATGTGCCATGGATTCATAGGGCACTTTAGTACTTTATATTTTAAAATGGAAATAAAGGACTGAGAACTTTGAAAAGCGGAGACTGGAAAGTTATGGTATTATAGGAGCCCTGATGCCAGGAGTGCTAATAACTATGGAGGGAGCTGTACGGTACACCAAAACAATGTGGTGTTTTTTAATTACTATCAAAATAATTTACATCAGAAAAATAAATTAAGCTCCGAAGGCTTTTCTCACAAATATACTGCAAGATTTTGCCTGTTAAGCATCACACAACATTGAACATTAATTTGATGTCTGGGGATGAGCCTCCCATTAGAAACCATGCCATCCTCCCAGGGAAATACGGTGTTTCCCTCAGTCTTTAGCAGATGCTGAATACATACAGTAGCACTGAAATTAGCAGTTTGAATAGAAAAACAAGTTTTCTTTCAAACGTGAGAAGCAGTTTTCAAAGCAAAAATAACTATCAGGACGCTCTCATTCTGATTCTAGTCACATACACTCAGCCTGCATCTCCAGTGAGCTCAAACAGTCAAGCTTTGTGTAACACTGAGCAAAGTCTGCCACCTCATTGGTTAAATTTCCTCAACAAACTCATCGTCCGAAAGCCCCTCAATGTTTAATTATGTTCACAGCCAAAGCAAGCAAGAACCCCAACAAAAGCTGACAGGTGTAAGCTTACTGAGCAAGGTGCCAACTGTTAATTGTAAGGCGGCTCAGCAGGAATGATAGATGTTTGAGTGGACACATACAAACAAACATTCAGAGCCCTCCTGGAGAGGATTTTTGACCAATATGTTCAGGTATTTAAAAAAAATGCAGCAATATAAATATATATAAATAAAGTGTAGATGCAAATTAAGCTCAAATTGACTTCAGTCAGTTGCAGTGTGCATATATATTATTTAAACATCTAGAGCTTCATGTTTAATTATTAAAGTAACAACTATAAAGCTTTTTATGACTTTGGCAGAGTTTGATGACTAAATCAAGTCTCAGTTGAGACACTCGAACCATCACCACTATTATCACTTTAATCCGGTAGTTATAATTCATCTGGTGTGTCTTTTTTGAGAACAACGTTTAAGCTCTCACTTCTGTTCAAGTACTTATGGAGAAGACTTTAACGCAAACACGTAATGAAGTATAGACAGGGGGATCAAATCACAAAATCTGCATTCAGAAATCTGGCTTTAAGTGTTCTGCAGCAGCTTGCTCCTACAGAGAAAAACATGATATAAATATTCAGTAGGAATTGAGGTGTTTCTGCATAGTTCTGCATTGGTTTGGTTCATGTCAAGAGGTATTTCTCCTAACTGCAGGTGCGCTAGGGATGAAAGAAATATTGGTTTTAATAAATGTCGTGATAAAACTTCCTACTGTTAATAATAACTTTTTAAAACAATATTTTCCTCTGCCAAGGAATTTACGTCTTTGTTGACGTTTGTCTGTTTCTCCATCTGTCTTTTGCAAAATATCTCAAAAAGTAATAAACAGATTTGGATTAAATTTTCAGGCAAGGTGCGTATTATGACATGGAACAGATGGTTAGATTTTGGTGGTGATGCAGGGCAACATCTGGATCCAGGATTGTCTTGAAGGATTCTTTATTGTTCTCAGACCATGGTGTGACAACTTGGAATTCCCACATGTTTAGTCAACCTTTCAGCAGCTGACATGCAGTGGCCAACAGTCATCCAGAGTACAGCTCATCAGTATAGAAAAAACCTGACAAGTGTCAGTGACCCTTTTGCCTTGACAGAGGTCTGCGCTGCGCAGTCATAACAGCCGTAGTAAATACTACGTGTTTTGAACTCAGCGTCACATAATTATATAATCAATTTTAGAACTGAGACTTTGAAACTGCACAAGGAAGGC